TAGTATATATAAATAGTTTAGTTTTTAAATAAAATTAATCAAAAAAATATTTAAGATTAGATTCATCTTTTACTAGTAATTCATATAATTCTTCAAATATATAAATTATATTTTCTTTTTATATACTCTTTTTTATAAAAAACTTTTGTTATTAATCTAATAGCTTTAGAAAGTTTAACTTTTTTATTAGATATACTTGTTTTTTTATTTTAATTATCTATATTTTTTGCTTATTTATTATCTTTTTTAAAAAAATTTTTAACTAGATCTATATATATTTATTATATAAAATAGTACTTTTTTTTTTTATTATTATTAAGATAACTTCCTTTACTGATTAGATTTTATTAATTTGTTATTACAGAGCTACTCTAAAGTAGACTCCTAAAGTTTTATAGTTACATAATAAATATACAACAAGCTATATATACAACTTTTAGTTATTATCTAATTTAAGTAGTTTGCTATACAGATGATTAACTATTTGTTAGTTTTATACTATACTGCTATATCTGCAACTTACCTATAAATTACCTATTTAAATACTATAATTATTAACTCTTCTCCTATTCTAAACTAATATAATCACTACATCTGACTATTTAAGCTAGCTGACTTGCTCATAAATCTATTTACTGTATGACTTATATCCTCTCAAGATATATATTGTTTAATATATTATGAGCATACAGAGCTCTAGTTAATTTTGAAAGTATATCTACTAGAGTAGTTTGTATCTATTTTACAAATTCATCTAGCTTAGATCCTTGTGATATTTGTATAACTTCAGTTCTTATATATAGAAATATTAAAATAGATATATATATTAAATTGTTTATCATTATTAATAATAAAAAGTAGTGTTTTGTATGAGTTACTTTTATAAGTATTTTTGTAATAAATTAGTTTAAATTTGTATGAACTAATATTAAGACCTTCTGCAAATTTTTCATAATTAATTTATTAGAAGTTATTTGAAAGATATAGATAAAAGCAAGCAAAATTAAGAGCAACCTGGATATGATTTTGTAAAATACTTGAAAAAAATAAACTTAATAAGAGAGAGAATTTTTGTATAATTAAGTTTAGTAAATAAAATAGTTGTAAATTTAGTTAGAATTAATTTAAAATTAGCATATAAGATATTAAAAGAGATTGTAGTATAAATATAAATTTAAGAATTATATTTAAAATTAGTTTTGTCAAAAATTCTAGTTATTTACTAGCTATAGTTTTGATCAGATATTTGAAGTTTGCTTTAAGTTCTAGTATTTTACCCTTAGCTTTTTTGAGAACTTGACTTAATCTGAAGTTTATTAAATCTGGTTTAATAAAACTAAAGATTTTCTTAGCTAATAGTGTATTAAGGTAAATATTAGATTCTATTTCTTCAGTAATAGAAAAATTTTTAAAGAAATCAAAGAGAGGTTTCTCTTCTTTTTCTTTATTATTATTATTATTTTTGCTTTTTTTTAATCTCATTTTTCTTATCTTTTTTGTTAATATTTTTTGGTTGTTATTATTTGTTTTGTTGTTGTTATTCCTTTTGTTTTTTCTGTTATTCCTTTTGATATTGTTAATTGTTTTTATTTAGTAGTTTGTTTTGTTTATTTTGTTGTTAGTTTAGGATAATTTTAACTTCAGCTTTTGTATAAATATTAAAAGTATTAAAGTATCTAAATTTTTCTTTTGCAAGTATCATTGCTATAGTTACTAAGAGTATTATAATTTTTTTGTTTCTTATTGAGTAACTAAGTTTGAAGTAAAGGTTTAGTTAGAATTGTTATAAGTTTAGAAACACAGATATGATAGATAAGATATTTATTTTTAAAAAGAATGACAATAGTATAATCTGGAGAATGCCCTTTATTTTTAGTATCAACATATAGCAGGTCTTTAATTCTACAAATTACACAAGTATGAGTATGATAAGTATATACAATAATTAAATAGAATTTTTATCAATATTAAAAGTTGAAAGAAATTGAGGAGGATTAAAGAGTTGTGAGAGTTGAAGTTTGGAAATAGGAGATACTAGAAGTTCATCTATAATTAAGTTAAAACATTTATACAAAATAGTTAGAGAAATATCTATTGAAGAAAATACAGGAGAGCCAAGAGTTGTAGTCTTAATTTTATAAAACTGAGAAATAAAGTTTGTATAATATTTTTTATACAAATAGATAATGTAAATTGGTTGTTTAGAAATTATAAAGTAATATATTTTCTTTTTAGTACTAGTATCACAAAAAGTAGACTGAATCTCTGCAGAAAGAATTTAGAAAGATTCTGAATTTGTCTTATTCATTCTAAAAGCAAAATGATTTTTGTATTTGTTGTAGTAATAATCAATATTATATAAGTCTGGTTTAGTTAAAGTTTTTTTTTTTTTTTTTTTTACTTGATAAACATGCTATCAGTGAAATTTTTTATTAGTATAAATAGTTTTGAGCAATAATTATATATATAAGAGTATAACTAGCTACACATACAACTTTAGATTGTCTAATTTAAATAGTCCATCTGAAGGTTCTACACTAGCTACTATATCTGAAATTTATTTAAAAATTCTCTATTTAAACTCTCTAGCTATATGCTATTCCTATTCTGCTATCATTTATTACCTAAATTCACCTAATCTCATACTACTTCTATTTTCAGAAGACATCAACAGAGCTGATATGAATTTACAAACCTTATAATTCAAAGCCTAGACCCATTTCAAATACCTTTTCAACAACTTCCTAATTGATAGATACTGTAGTATCTAAATATACTATGCTATATCTCAATCTAGCTTGCATATACTCTTGTTTGATGTTCATACAAACCTGGTTTCTACTATAGCTTTCCACTGAGTTAGTTATCTATGCCTCCAGATATCATACAAGATAGGCTCTCCCAAATCTGGTTACTATCCAAATTGGTGTTGCTAAAAGTCATCTGTGCCTTCAGATATAATACAGAACAGATCCTCTCAAATCTAATTAGCTACCAAGCCAAGTTAGTATTACTATATGATCTCATATAATAGACTTATATGCATCTATTCAACTGATCTTTTTGTAGCAAGTTTTCTAATAGATTTACTCACATCCTAGTTGCTAATCTTTTCATATTCAGATTTTCTTTTTTAGATTAAATATTAATTAGTATAACTATTAAAATCTATACTACTTTATCTAACTTGAGATTTCTACTATACAGGTCCTCTGTCTGTAGATCCTATTAAGATTTATTTATGTAATATTATGCTCTTACAAATATCCTATCATACTTCTAATACCTTAATTAGCATTAGTACAATATGATTTACAGAGTTACAACTTCAGAAATAAGCAGAGTTTACTATAAGTTAGATACAAATGTCTAAGTAATTATTTAATTCTGTTAACAGTAGGATTTGAACTCTAGATCTCTTGCATAGCAGTCTGGCAACCTAACTACTATACTAAAATCACTAGACTTTAGTTAAAGTTAGAGTTAGCATCTTGAATAAATTAAAGAAGAGTATAGTATTGTGATAAAAAATTGCAAAAGAAACCAAGTAAAATAGACTAAAATTGATATAAAGAATGAGGTTTAAAGTAAAGTTAGATAAAATTTCCTAAAGATCAATAAAATTTCTAGATCTTGTAAGCAGAATCCTGTAATCTAAATTCTTTTAAGGTTAGAAAAATAGTGAAAAATTCAAGACAAGTTAGTAAAATTTCTGAAATTGCTATAGATAAATTCTAAGTAATCTACAAGAATTTAGAAAACCTTTAAACAAGTTTTCAAAAATAATTTGCTAAGTTTTAATCTGTTTTTGATAAAATATATATTAAAATGAAGCTTAAACTTAGGAAAATCTAACTCTTTTAATAATCAAGAGTTGTTATATTAGTAAAAATTTGAAATATTTAAAGAAAACTAAGTAAACTAGAAATATATAAAATTTCTATAGAATTTAGTTCAAAAGATATGAAACTAGACTACTAGATGTAAAATTTTATGCTTAACAATTTTTTTAGATATTCAGAAGCTATTTATTTAATAAAATTTTTGAATATTTTAAAAAAACTAAAGAAATAAAAAGTATTTAATATCTTCATGAAAAAGAGTTCAGAGAAGATAAAACTAAACTACTCTGAAGTAAAATATTGTTGTGAACAACTTTACTTAGTAGCCCAAGAGTAGTTTATTTAATAGAATTTTAAGTAATAATTAAATATTTGCAAGAAGTTTTGGTACAAGTGATTTTTAGAAAGAGTTACTAAATTGTGTTTGTTGTAATCTCTGTTCTATATTTTCTATTAATTATCTAATCTATATATTTAACTGTATTTTTTATATCTACTACTATTATACTAGACTTCTGTTTAATATATCTTAAATGACTTTACTTTTTTCTCAAAATTCTCTAGATTTTTTCTTCTTTGTCAGTAAGTTGTCTGGTTTTGAATATACATATTTAGTTTCTTGTTTAGGGAGCTGTTAAAAATCAGATAATTTTTTAAGAGAAGAGAGGAGTCAAAAAATTAAATTTATATATAGAGAACAGTATTGGTAAATATTGATTTTATTGGGTAAAAAAAATAATTGACATTTATATGGATCAACTATAATTTTACAATACATTATCTAAGTAAATCTATTCATTACAAAGAAAAAATTTTTTTATAATTAAGAAAACTAAAAAAATAGTAATACATATATATAATTTGTATGTTACTTCATCATTTTATAAAATACTATCCAGTCACATCTAATAGATAAGGATTCTAAATAAGAAGATAAGAAGTCTTTAGGTTTTAAGTATTTATAGTGCAGGAATAGAAGTTTAATGAACTTCTACTAATACTAATACATAACTTTGTTAGCTTAATATATAGTGTTTAGATTTAAGTCAGACAAAGAGACAACCAAAAATCAGTAATTGTATAGTATAAGTATCTACTTTTTAAGTTAGTAAAATTTATTTTGTTTAGATTTATTACCAAATACTAACATGATTTATTTTATATTTTATTTAAAAGATTCATATGTACTTTTTGAATTCTATCTAATTCTATTTCTTCTATAGTCAAATAATCTTGATCCTTTTCCTCCTCTTGAGCTTTTATATTATTATTTATGTCTTTTCTTTCTTCAGCAGTTAAGACATTAGTCCTTTTTCTAGTCTATTTATTAAAGATTTCATATTATTATATATTCTGCGCTTATAATATTTTTCACAATGATAATAACTAAATTCTATTTTTTGATAGCATTAGAAATGGTACCTATGCCCACAGATCAGAATTTCACTGTCTCTAAGATTTTGGTAATAATAATCACAAATATCTAACTGAGGAAGTATACTAGTACTATATGCTATTGAAAAGTATTTGCATCAACTGTCTCTTCTAAAGTAATTAATCTATATAGATTCTTTTTATACTTATTTGTTCTATATAGTTTACTTTTTCTATAATTTTTAAAGAGTTTGCAAAATATTCTAATAAGAATAAAGCTATTCTTTCTATAAGAAAATCTAACTAATGTAGCTTATACAGATACTGTAGTATTTTTTCAAATATGTCTTTAAGTTTACAATGAGCTTATATATCTAATAATATTATTAATTATTTTATTAGTTTATCAAAAAAAAAATTTATACTTACCAATTACATAAGCCTGCTTAATTATATTACTAATACTACTAGTTGGAAAGGTATGTGATCATATCTTACTATGCATGTTTTTAATATAGTAATCATTAAAATTTACTAAAAATAATTTTATAGCCTTAGCAAAAAGATAGTTAGTATCTTGCCAGTAAAAGATATCAGATAATAATACTAACAGCACTTTATTATAATTGCGCTGATTTTATTTAAGAACAAATATTCAGAACTGAAAGACAGTTTCTATGTATTCATCAAATAAACTAGACTGAAAAAGAATAGCATAAATATTTAGAGCTATTAAAATTATATTATCTAGCAAATCAATAATCATACAATATTTGATATCTTTATAGTAACTGAATTTTGCAGTAATTAAGTTTCAAATTTTACACTATCTATTATAAGTGAAGTTAAGAAATAAATTAATTCTTCACAGCTTTAGTTTTTTAGTAAGTTTTTTTTTTTACTGAATATGAAGTAAAACATCTTTTCAAAAAAAAAGATAATAAGTTATTAACACTTGTTCTCTATTATTTAAAGAGATATAAAGAGGCTCAATAATCAGATTAAAGAATTAATCTCGAGTAGTATATAATATTGTGAATTCACTTTATGCAAATTTGTTATTGCTTTGTGAATAAACTGTTCAAACCAATTTGCCACTATTGAGGCAACTCTATTAGCTAAGTATTTAATATTATTATTAATATTTAAAATAATTTGAAGTGCCTCTATATAATCCTTTATAGAATGCAGATTTCCTTCTTTAATCCTAACTAATCTTAAACCTTCCATTGACCTTTCTTTTTTTTTCTCTGAAATTTCATTATCATATATATGAATTGTAAGTAATTCAGATCTATTAAAGTTATTAATATTTAGATTATTATATTTAAGCTACTGATTCTTATGATTTGTATAAGCAATATCGAACATTCTACAGTACTGATGAATTAACTAAAAACCAATATTACTTGTATTGATATTTATTGGATTATGAATTGATATATTATTGAAGACTAGAGGAACTAGCATACAGGCTGATACTTGTTTGCAAATGCAAGTTGCCATATGTTTTGCATCAAATAAGTATACAGAATCTGGCCTTCTTTTTTCATAAATGTTATAGTAATTATCTAAATTATAAAGTACAAATTATTATCCTATACAAAACTATTTAGTTACCTTATTTTTAATTAGCATTATATTATGAAAATGTTTGTAGTTTTATATTTGGTTTATTATGAATTTATTTATTTTGTGCTAATTTAATTTTTTTATTTTTTAGACATGCTAAGAGAAAAATTATGTATTCTTAAATTTTTACTAATTTCTATTGACGAAATTAGTAAAAATTCAAGAATACACAATTTTTCTCTTAGCATTTAATAAAAACAAACATTTAATATTAACATTTTTAATACTTATTATATACTTATTTTGGCTTTTGACTAACACTCTATCAACTGTGATCTTGTTGTGAGGGTGTTCAAGCAGTTTGTTTAGCATTTGCTTTTGGCTTTTGGGCATAAGTGCAAATCTTTCTTCTATTTTTTCCCTTATTTCTTTTTCTTTTGCAGCTTGCATTTCCTTTCGAGCTTTTTCTTTTAATACGTTCCACCACTCTCTGATTTCAATGCAGTATTCTTCGTTCCAGAATTCTAGTAAGAGTGGGATGTTTGTCTTGTATTCTGTGTTAAGATGCTCTATTCGTGCATCTAGAATTGCCTTCTCGAGTTCATCTATGCTTTGTCCCATGTCCTTAGAACCTTTTCTGAATATTCTTCCTAGGACCTTGGCTCTGCTATATGTTAGTGATTTCGTAGCTTCT